CCCCCCCCCCCGCCGCGCCCCCGGGGGGGGGGTGGGGGGGGGGGGAGAGAAGCTCCAGCTCTGCCCGGGCCACTTACCTCAGCGAGAGCGGCCGAGCCCACCCGCCCGTCAGTTCCTTCAAGTCTTCCCGCCTCCGGGTCGCCCACCCCACCAATCACAGCGGACAGGAAGCCGCTCCGCCGCAGCCAATCAGCAGCCGCCGCCCGCCAAAGAGCTCCCGCCTCCGCCCCTCGAGCCTGCCGCCAACCACCGAGGCCCACATTGGTGTCCAGCAGGCGCCTGAAGTTGCCTAGGTAACCAAGGGCAGGGGAGGGGGCGCTGAGCTCTGCCCCGCCCACTTTCCCTTTTCTTTGGGGGAGGGGCTCCTCCCCTCCTCCCGCTTAGGCTGACCAGCAGGGGGCAGGCTGGGCCTGCCCCCACTTGGCTTCAGAGCAGGGGGAGATGGATCAGATGGCCCAATAGGGAGGCTTTTTCTTATATAGATGTCTGCTACTCCCCCTCCCCCCCAGATTTTTCACATATTGTATCTGGTCAGCCTAGGTGGGGCGTGGGGCACAGGGTCCCCCCCCCCACACACACACACACCCACGCTTGGGCTTGCCACATATGGGCAGAGGGCCAACACGTGGCCAGGTCCCCACAAGAATGGTACAGGGCTTGTGTCAGCTCTGAGCAGCCTGCTGCCATTCATCCATCCAACCTAGAGCGCATGAGCTGATCTGTAACTACTGTACTTGCACAGGCCTCCTGGTCATATCCCGCCACTCAGTCATCAGCCACATGAGGGTGTAGCAACATCTTGTGGGACATTGCATGAAACTGTTTCAGTGTAGCAGGCGGGGCAGACTAGGATCTGTTTCAATAATTTAAGGGAGTTGTGGTGAGGGATTGTTTTTTTCCCCTTGAAAGACTCCTTATTTCCCCTATGCAACTGAAGTCAACCTGCAGACAGACAGGAATGCTATCGTGTTCACTCTCTAAGTATATTTAGAGTAATACAAAAACAACAGAAAAGTCAAACAGCCAATGTAGTTGGTTGATTACAGCACAGTACTTCACATACAAAATATATTTGTATCCTAAAGTCAACTAGGAGTAGGGAAGAGACAGAGCTACCACCACACACACTGGCCAAAACAAACAGCAAAGCTGTGCTGCAAAAGATCATGTTTCAGAGAGATACACACAAAAGTGCATATTTGATGGAAGAGGGCAAAGGGGGCTAGCAGTCAAGGACGGAGACTACAATCAATCCATCCATTTTTTTAAACTAGATCTGTAAAAATACCTTCATATTACTATGTGAACAATAAGTATGATAACTGGCACCTGTGTGCAGATAGCTGTTTGATTAACCAGACTTTGTGATACATTCATCTTCCACCTCTCCATGCTCTAATCATACCAACAGCCTTCCCTACCCATTTTGTCAAATATTGTGTGTAGGGCCTTAGCCTCCTATCCCATGGAAAGGATTAGCATAGGAGATGAAAAATTAAGCGAAATAAAAACTACAAGGAGACCATCACAATTATCAGAATCGCTGTTTGCAGTTCTGCCTGTTTGTGCGGGGCTCTCCTGTCTGGGCAAGAGGGATTGAGGGGGCAGGAGCTGTGGTGAGTTTCCCATGACCCCCTTCACTCTCTGTGAGTTTGAGAGCTGCAGGGAACTCACCATAGGGGCCAGAGACCACAGCTCCCACTATTCACTAATTTCATCATTTGCAGTGGTGCCACCATGAATGGTGAGGGTTTCCTAGAATACAAAACAGTTAAAGTCATACACTAGTAATATTGCTCTTCACTTTTTAAAAAATATAACTGCAACAAATGGATGGCTCAGGGACTAGCAAATGGATACATGAATGATGATAGTTTAAGTCAAGCCCAAATCATCAGTAACAAAAAGTCTTGGTCATTCAAAGACTAGCTTGGTATCCTATATAAAGTGAGACATTGTTCCACACTGATTCTGAAAAGATGACAACTCAGCAAAATTGATATGCTCCAAATGGGGGTGACATGGCAATCGTAATGATGTAACCGTCTTCTTATTGCAGCACAGAGTTGTATCTGAGGTGTGTGTGGTGTTTTAAACACGTGAAATTTCAGGCACTCAAGATAATGCACCTTCAGCAATGTCAGTCAAAGGTGATAGTGAGGGTCTTTGTCTGGACTGATTGGTAAAATGATGAAAGCCCTCTGCCAAATGCTCCCTCCTACTGGTTCTTCCACTTGGTTCATCAGAGCCTAAATAATGATAGGAAATGCTGTGAGATGCACCAGTTTGTCTCGAAAGGAGTGCCTTCTAGGGATGTTAGATAGCGTATAATTGAATAGTTATGTAATCTCACAAAATGTTAGCAGTTACATGACTATTCAATAGTCCCTGGAGGTGGGGCTAGCAGCCAGTGCACTCCCAGTCCCACTCTTGGGGAGCCCCCTTCTATTAGAGGCAGCAGTGTGGGGTAGCAAGGGGAGCCAGGTTAAAAACCTGCATCCCGCACAGACCGGCCCCCGCCTGCTGCCCCGCTTTGCTGCCTCTGATATAGAGGCTGCAGCACCCCATCTGTGGAGCAGTCCAAGCTCCCCAGATACAAGCTGCTCCGTGGCAGCAGTCCCTGTTTGCAGGGAGTTATGACTGTAGAGCACCCTCTGTCTGCGGCAAGCCCGGGTCACCGTGGACAGAGTCTATTCTTTGCAGCAGCCTCCTCTGCCTCTCCCCCACCCCAGCACCGACTCCTGCTTGCCCCTTTCCTGCTTCTTCTGAAAAACAGGTAGCAAGGAGGGGGGCAAGTGTGTACAGTTGACAGGATTAACCCAGGCTTAATCGTGTAATTGTCTACACATTGACATCCATAGTGACTTCAGAGTAGGAAAACCTTTCCTGAAGAGATATGGGGTGGGGGAAGTCCTAACTCATGTTTCCCCCGCCCCGGATAAGTAACTGGGGGGAAAAAAGACTGAACTTAGTGAAGTCAGTAATTTTTTTTTTTTTTTTAAACTTAAAATGCAATTACATCTAACCTTTCAGCTATTGGACCATTTATGAGGGGAAGTTCTGACTTTGAAAGAAATTCAGTAGTTTTTAATCCATTTAATCTGTGCACCAGAGGCCTGAGGGAAGTACTGCTTCACTTAACCTGACATCCAATTTGGAAAGGAATTTAAATTTGAAATTAGCATTCAGTCCATACAAATCCGTTTGAAAGTTTATGAATCCATCCAAAACACATACATACAGCAGGTTTCTGTTAAAATGTCACTACAGCATATAAAATATTAGAATCTTGAGAAAAATCAAATAAAATTTAACTTATTTACATACCTTACATCAATATATATGGTAAAAGCACACCACCTTCCTACTAAAAATGTATTAACACATTGTTAATGCAGGCTTTGACCAATCAATACCAAAATAATACTGGAATGTACATTTAGTTTTACAACATCCATATTAGCTTTTCTGCACACTTGTCTGATACCTTTGAAGAACAAGCTACAGAAGAGAGAAGGCCACAGTTTAAGAGAATCAGGCCATTTCTTCATGGGAATAAAAACAGATTTAATCAAATAGAATATTTTACCTTTTTTCTGTGTGAAAGACCACAGATGCTGTCATTTTAATATAACATCCTTTTAGAATGGTAAGTTTAATAAAATGCCTGCGAGAAACACTCCACTCACCTCACCTCACATAAAGCCATTTACTTTAATGTATTTATGGCTTTAGTTAAGACTATTACCCTGCTATACCAAAAGCGCTTGTGCATGGCTGCAGAAGATTGCTGAAGGGTGTACTAGGCACAATGCAGGCGAGAACAAAGGCCTCAGCCTGCAGTTTTCTTGCATGCAGTAACTACTCGCTACTTTCAAAAGCTCTGGGTGCATGAAGTACTGATGGATTGATCCTTTTAATGCACCAAACTGAACACCACTCCATCACATACCTCTTTTCTTAGAACCACTTTGCTATGGTTAAAAATCAGCCATTCATCACAGGACAATTTAGCTTTAATCACTTTGGCCTCAAGAACATTGATTTTTAAATCCTATCTGGATGATAAGTCAAGAGATCTCTTGCATTTAGTGCTTTAGGCTCCTCTCATCTTTGTTAAACTAAGCAATAGTTTAAAAAACACACTCAAGATAATTGAGCATTATAAAAAATAAAGTTCTGTAATAAGATGTTTGAACTGTGTTAACGTATGTTGAAAGTTTTAATTTCAAGACTTTTTTAAAGTCATCCCACACTTGTCTGACCAATTTTTTAAAAGCTTTCTCTTGCAAATGAGTTTGTTAACGTTTTGAGAGTTGCTGATCTCTTCACCTCAAACTTTGTGCAGTGGTCTGAAAAGCGAATAAAAAGATTTTTAATCTCGGTAGACTTGGTGAACCTGCAGAAGCAACTTACAGCGGTTTTCCAGTCTTCTCCATGCTCCTTTTTAGGGAGTTTATTGCATCTTGCTTTGCAAGACTCTGTTGCATTTGTCTGTTTGAGTTAATGCTTTTCAATCCCAATTTTCCCTGCATGTTTTACCCAAAACTTGTCGCTGCAAGGTGGGAAAAGTCAACATGCTAAAACAAACATCAGGCTTACTTCACAGACTGCTTTTTAGAAAGGTATTACATAGAAACCTGCTCCTTCTTTGCTTCATAAGCCAAGCAAAACAAATTCACAACCTAACTCCACTGAAACAGTCTTCATTTAGGACCACTGGCAGATTGGCTGTCAAAGGAAAGCAGTGCAGGTCTCCTTAAGAATTCTCTTTGGACAGGATCAGTCCACAGCTTTGTGCAGAGTCCAACAAGTGAAAGTTACTCTTGGTTCCAATCCAATTCCTAATTCCTCTTTGGCAGCTGTTACCAGCATTAGACACTGTACATCATACTTGCTGTAGCACGACTTCATTTGTTTTTTCCTAAACTCCACTAACAGTCATGTTAATTATTTCAATGATGGTCCTTTCAATACACTGGCATAACTGAACATCAGGGTCCATGCTTCCCATGTTCTTTAGTCCATGCTTATAAAACAAATCTTTACAAAGTTCTGATTGTTCATTTGGCTTCTCCTTTAGTTGCTGGAGACCTGTGTTAGATAGAAACAAACATAGTTCAACAAAAACTGCTTCTTCTGCTTTATACACTGACAAGCATGCGTGTTTTCAGATGGTGAACTGAAAACACTGCTATCACCAGAGGGATAGATCAGAGACCGGGCATGTGGTGGTTTAATTTCATCAGCCTTTTGGGAAATACTAAGAGGCATTTCTGTTGGGTTTCACTTAGGTCTCCTTGTTTTTATTTTTGGTTGGTTCTTTTCGGACAGAAAGACAACCATGTTAATAATGCCTAGGGTAAGGAGCACAAAGCCTCACAGCACCCTGTGAAATGCTTTAGAAAGGGGCAGAAACACAAACTTTGAGATACTTGCCCAAGATGATTAAGTCAGCGCCTAGCTCTCCTGCTCTCCTGTACCAGCCATTACACACTTCTCCACCCCTTAGAAACGCAGCAGCCATCACAATCCTATTGACATTCCTTTACAGTCTAAGGATGTTAAGTATCGACTGATCGAATTGCAAAATGCATTGCCTATTCGATTAGTCGATAGGGCGCCTCCATCTTTGTAGTGTAGCAACAACCTTAAGGCAATTGCTACACTTCAACGGCGAAAGTGCTGCATGGAGCCTGGGGTCAGCGTGGGAGTCCCCAGCTGATCCCGGGCTCCATGCGGTGCTGTCACTTTGAAATACCACGAGGAGCCTAACGCCAGGCTCTGCACAGCATTTCAAAGCAGCAGCATTGCATGGAGCTTGGGGTCAGCTGGGGACTCCCCAGCTGATCTCAGGCTCCATACAGCACTGCTGCTTTGAAACGCTGTGTGCAGCCTAGGGACACCCCAGCTGGCCCCAGGCTGCACGCAGTGCTTCAAAGCAGCAGCGCTGCATGGAGCCCAGGGTGTGACCCCAGGCTTCAAGCGGCGCTGCTGCTTTGAAGTACCCACTCTTCCCTTCCCGCCCTCCCCCCCCCCCCCCTCGCCGCGTGTGTGGGGGGGAAGCGACTAGTTGACTATCCTATCAACTAGTCCTTCACATCCCTATTACAGAGATCTCTATTTTTTGCCATTTTAGAAAGGACAGTACAGGCACTTACACTTGAACTTTGTCACTGTGGGTTACAAGCTAGCCACTACACAGAACCAGACCATCCTTCTACAGTGTCCACCATTCCACCCCCTCGGGCTAGTGTAAATGTTATTCCATGTAGCAAACAGGACACACGGTTACCACCCTACCCAACTCTTCTCCTGCACAACACAAGTCTCACTTAATTTCCAGAAAGACAATTGTATTTGCTGACGAGAAAGATGGTAAAACTACTAGGGATGTGACCAGGTATTAACCATTAAGGGTGATGCTTGCCAGGTAATGGTTAGCCATTATCCTGGAGCAGCTCCATGGGGCTCCCAGACCATATGGATTGGGAGTCGGCAGTGGGGACAGGGCTGACGTTTCCAGCCCCACAGGAAGCTGCCAGCTCCCAGCCCGTGTGGGCTGGGAGCCAGCAGTCCAGTGCAGGGCCACAAGCAGCTGGCCTGGAGCAGCCCCTGCCCGCGGCACAGGGACTGCTTCAGCGCCTTCACCTCCATTTAGTCAGTTAACCAGTTAAACTCAATGTTTAGCTGGTTAACTAATTAAACGGGATTTTACATCCCTGAAAACCACCAGACATTTGTACCTAATATGTGGTGCAGATGGATTTCCACTCATCTCCACTCTACTCCCATTCCCTTCATCTCCTGTCTTCCCTACCCCCCGCCAGCACACACTGAAAAGAGCCAGACAGTGTATGAAAAGCTACAGCTATATGAAAAAAAAGAAAGCCAGCTGAAATGTCCTTAGGAAATTTTTTAAAGCATCAAGGCTGATGATTAATAGGAAAAAAAAATGCAGAGCGCGAACTTTTGCTGTTGCTTGGGTGCAGATAAATTTGAGAGAAAAAAGAAACCAGGATTTGCCACATCCTTACATTCACAACAACTTAAGTAATAAATCTGCATCAGTCATAGATTCTTCAGTGAACATCAAGAGCCAAGCTGAACAGATTCCAGGCAAGAATATGATGAGGGTTATTTTTAAGCCCAATGAACTTCTATAAATATAACAAGATGCACCTGGATAGAGAGGCTCATTCAACAACAAAAAATAAATTACAGATACCCCCATGAAAGGAAACAAGGAGGTAACTGGTCTTTCTGGGGGAGTCTCTTCATGGGTGCATTAATATAATGAATGGTCTTAACTAGTAGACAAAAGCATTTGATACACAAAATTCTATGAAGTGAAACAAAGTTTAACACATCTGACAATTTAAGGGCAAGAAGAAAAGGGGCAAATTTGCAAGAACTCTTGATGTTACAACTTCACGCTTTCTTCTGCAAAATGGACTTATTAGCAGAAAGGTCCCTTCTTGCGGGGATAATAATGATCTCCTTCCTGTTTCTATATAGCCTACAGGAAACTGAGTAAGAATCAAATTTTATGGGACACATTTTCAAAGGACAGCTAACGGGTTTAACTGGAACTCTCTTATTAAATTAAAGGGAATTGTACAACAAACCTCAAACATCTGGAATTTTACTTCCTAGAACAGAGATAACACTATGGACTTGATTTCTTAGCCATGTTTCAAAGTGTGATACTCTTCCCAATTACAGCTCATTTCTAGCCTAAAAGCAGAACATCTAATTTCATTTATTTTACAGAAGGAAATAAGCAGCATAAGAAGTTCATAAAACATATGAGAAGCCAAAAGCTTCTGCTTATCCCTTTCATTCCAAATCTGCTCTCTCAAATACCATACATCACATCCTCTCATGGTTCCATTTGCATTTGTAAACCTGTGGGGGTCACTTTTCACTGTGTACTCAAAAATCAACTATAAACTTTCAAGGTGTTAGAGACACGGTTATTGTCTGGAATTACATCTGTAGTTTTGGAAGACACGGTGTCACTACTTACGTGTAATAATCGGATCAAAGTCTCTAGTCTGTGTAGCAACATCAGAGGCACAAACTTGTCCTATCTGTATCAGTAGAGACATGATATCATCGTACAGCGGGGGAAAGGCTTGGCAGAAGGAGACCAAACAAGGCAGGGTCGGCATGAAGAAAGCAAAGCGCTTCGTCTGGGTTAAAACTGGTAAGGAAGGGGAAATGTTTAGAACAAATGTTTAAGCAATCAAGAGCTGTCCTTACATTTACGACTGTAACCTCTGTCCTAAAATGACTTTTCACGTTGTGATTAAAGTTGTGTATTTGTTATAAAGCCAAAAAACTTACCAAAAATGGAACATTATTCTACACTACTTCCTGATGCATTTAAAAGACATACATTTCCAATTACTATGATCCTTCTGTGACATCAGCAAGATAAAAAGGATAAAGTTATGCAATACTTTTCTTTGTTTTATAATTAGGATGGAATACAAATTTTCTACAGTCTAGTATCTTAAAGGTTACTTATTTCTAACAAATCATTAGAAACTCAAAGGAATAAAGAACAGTTTATTACTGGTTTGCAAGTTTCTTCACTCGGCACAGCACAACTGTCTAAAAGTTACATAGATGAAGAATTTAGTACAAATCTAACTATTTTTTTAAATCTTGGTTTTCAACGTTGACAGATTAGCATATTAAAAGAACATAATGTATATTGCCTCAGAGTAAAATTACATGTCTCCACAAACATATGCCAATGTTTTGATGTTATCTGTGTGTTTACCTGTTAGCAGCGTTCCCATGACATTGATAGCTAAGCGAGCCACACTGAGAGATTTAGGTAATGCATACTGGATACACAGATATGAAAGCAGCTGGATGGCAAATATCTGTGGGGGTGAAGAGGGAGAAAGAAAAATCAGTTATTTTTAATACAGATTTGCTTTGTGCTTCTATCACACTTTTAGTCCAAAAATCTGTACAAAACAATATATTTGCCATTTACCCTCTGCATGATAATTTGTCCCTATTTTATAGATAGGAGAACGAAGGCACGGACAAATGTAGTTAGAGTATGTGTTAAAATATTTGACCAAAGTTACTATTAAAGAAAAACATGTTAATGAACTTAACATTAATAGGAAATGTTTTTCACCATTCCCCTGAAGTACTCTGCAGCCCAGAGTAAGGGTTCTCCAAGATTAAATACTTCCAATGCTTCTCAAGCTCAGAGATCCCTGTAAGCTATGCACTTGTGTGGCCACTCAGAAAAGATTCAAATGCCACACAGCTGATTAGCAGAGCTAGGTTTTCTGTTTTTCTTGGTGGTATACATTTGCACATGCCTCAGTGCACATAAAATTATTCTACACATGAATGAAAAAAATATACACATGAAAAGATTAGACGGAACATTGTTCAAACTACATGGCTCTACAGTACCTGTTTTTCAAGTTCAGGTTGAGCAATGAGCTCCGGTATGAAATCCAGACATATATGCATGGAAGGTATGCCTGCCACTGTCAGTGGTAGAAGTTCACATGGATAACCCTATTTGAACAAGAGAGGAAAACGTCATTCAATTTCACAAAGTCATACTAGAAGCTTAACTGCATTTTTTAAAAGAATCTGTGGTGGTTTTTTTTTTTTTTTTAAACATTTTACTCATCATGCTTACTCAGCATCTTAACCCAGACCAAGGTAAAGTGCCATCCAACCTATGTTTGCATCAAGACAATTCATTTGCTCAACTGTGCAGATTTTCACAAGCACCACCAGCATCTTCTGCAGATGCAATCCTTCTCCTTCCATTCCCAAACTCACAGACAAATTCAGGCTTTTAGCACAGACATACATTAATAGGCTTAAAAAGCAGCATTAACATAAGCCACTCTACAGAATGCAGCCCCAAGCACAGACAGCTCCTGCCAAGGACAAAGCAATGTGCACAAATACAGAACACATGGGCTGGCTACAAGATGAGCACATTCTAATACGGATTAGTACCACTCCCCTCCCCAAAATGCCCACTCCAATACTATTTGTAATGGTACACGGATACATAGGAACACATATGATGTGAACCATTGGTATCCCTCTTGACTACTGCTTTTTGAGTATCTGCATAATGCAGTCAGATACCTGAATTAGAGATGTGAATGGTTAACCCGCCACACTTACTGGGTGATGATTAACTGGGATTTTACATCCCTAATCTAAAATTAAGGATGTAAAAAACGCCTACAATAGTTAACCGGTTAACCACTAGCTGCAAGGACTGCTTCAGCCCTGGTCCCACTGTGGACAGAGTCCAGCCAACTGGGCCCGCTGCAGCTGCAGGGGTCCTCTGGCCTGGGCAAGGTCCTACCGTCAGCGCCGATTAACTGGTTACCTTGTAAACAGGCTGATAAAACCACATGCTTACCCGGTAACTGGTTAACCTCCTATATCCCTAATCTAAGTTAGCACAGGGAGGTAGCTGTAAGATAGCCATCTCATGAAAATAAATCTTGGCCATCATTCTCTTTCCAACAGTGCACCAGTGCACCCTTTCTGGATTCATTCTGCACTGCCCTCGCCACTATCACTTCCCAAAGAGCCATAACAAAAAACTGACCTGGAAGTGAACTAGTTTAACAATGTTGGGATCTGCAATGTACATTTGATGCAGTAGGCAGCAAATGAGACACTGCACCTCTCGAAGATTACACAAAAGGCTGTCTTGCTCTTCTTCCACACCCTTACTCGGAGGTTCAATGGCAGCAGCAGCACTTTGAATATTTTTTAGCAGACTGTGAGAGTTGCTGCTCTGCGCTTTCTCCTCTTCTGTAGGTAAGCAAATCTCTAAAAGGATCTGTACAGCAGCACTGTCCTGGAAAGCAGTCAAGCAGTGCCAAAGTTAATAAAAGAGAAATGAAGCATGAAGTATGTATATGTGTTCAGTATCACATTAGAGGGAAGCAACTGTTCCAATCAAACACCGCGCCCATGGAAAACGTTGATTCACGAATGAAACAGTCGCTTGTTACATGCCCTTCTATTCCTCACACATGGTCAAACAATGAATATAATCACCGTGACGGTTATTATCCACCAAACGCACGAGTTTTAAATCAGGTGTGACCTATTTCAGGTCTCTTTACTGATTGCTACAATGTTTAGATTTTGTTCACTGAAATTGGCAGGCACCCTGTAGCAACCAGGGAGTATTTTATTGTCCCCTAAAATCCTAACGTCAGTATGGGATGTACTCAGTGTAACTTTACATAACTATATGTTGTCTGACTAGGTCAGTGGCAATGTAAGAAACTAAAGCACAATACATAAACTGTTCCAGTACTGAATTCTGGGTTTACTGGTTTCAGACTGGAATAACGGGTAATGAATTATTAAAGGTTATTTTAAACCAAGAACTAAAAACCGAAGCGACGAAAGCCAAAAGCTTGCAAAAAATCATTAAACCTTGAATGGACTAATAAGAGTTCTGTAGAAAGAAAATATTGTTGTATAGTCCACACCTATAGGGTAGGGATTTTTCATATTAAAATTTGTTCAAACTATATACAGGCAAACACATGTGCTTTACATGCCAAGTGTATGAACATCCTGATATAAACAATCTGAGCTAGTGTAAAATACAAATCCAAAAGGTTCAGCATCTCCCCATAAAGAGGAAAACCAATCCTAACCTTAGCGAGTTCTAGATCACAGAAGGATACATAAATGCCCATGCAGCACACTGCATCTAGGGTAGGGATGTGATAATGTAAACATGTGAACTCTTAACCAGTGAGCCGGGGCTTTTCGGTTACCCTTCAGGGTTACACTCCCCCCCCCCCCCCCCCGCCCCCCGCGCTGCACAGTGTACGGGGAGGCAGGCGTGAGCCAAGTTTTAAGCCAGCTTCTCATGAGCACTGGGGTCCCACCCTCTGTCCCCCACACCCACACTGCTTCCTCTGACCCAGAGAGCAGTGGAGGGGTAAGGGAGAGGAGGCTGACATTTTCAGCAGTACACATTTACCAAAATTAACACATTTTAACATCCCTAATCCAGGGGACAAACAGATAATCTCCGCCCTCCCCCCCATGTATGAAAACCTCTTGCTGGCTGCTCAAAAAACTATAGCAGCTGTGAAACTGACTGCTCACTCTCTCTCCCAGCTGGAGGCAAGTTACAAGTGGTTACTTACACTTGGTTAGAGTGAGAGAGGAAGCAGCGTACGTGTAAAATAAAAAGTACTCACAACAAGAGCTCAGAGACATTACGGTAACCATATCAGTCATTCCCTAGCCTTGCACTTCATAAAGTTACTTAACAGAAGCAGCTAACATCACTGAAATGGCCTTCAGGGCCTGTCACATTTCCTCATGCTCTATTACCCCAACCTTGTGAGGGTATAAAAATACTCCTCTGGAGAATGGGAGGGAAACATACAAAGGGGACTATGGGCAGAACTCTTTTCTAGTCCACTGACAGAGAAAGCTGCTGTACTAATGGTCAACCATCAGCATGATGCTCCAGGCTAGAAAAAGACGTGAGAGAAAAAGAGAGTTCAGGCTATTAGATATAATTTGGAAATTGAAGTGTCATTTTTTTTTTTTTTTATACTTATTATAGGAGAAGTCAGTATAAACAAAAGTCTGTTTTCCCTACTCCTTATATCTGTGTGCAGTGCTTAGGTATTTTGGAGTTGCCATGGTTAGCTCATTACCATCCGCTTCATCATTATTACCTGGGCAGCAAGTAATGCATTTTTCAGTTCCTCTCTGGTAACTTCTGGGGCCTCAGGGCCCATCATATTATTTTGGGATGGCCTAATGTCCTGCTCAGCCGTTTCCTTCAGGTGGGAACTCAGATAGGCTTTTGAGGCCAGGAGATACCCATTCAGCATGTGCAGAGTAATATCCATCAGAGGAGGACACCTAACACAAGAACAGACGACAAACAAAAGATAGTTATGGCGTCAAGCAGGAAGAGCGCGCACACGTGCGAAAGGAGGTGAGCAAGGAAAGTGAAAAACCTCCTGACTGAGGAGCCCTGCAGACTAACTCAAGCTGCTAGCCCCAGGGAGAAGAGTGGCCTCCTTTCATTGGCAAATTGGATTTCATGGGGAAGCGCTGGCAGAGGAATTGCTCAGACCAAGATGTCAGCCACGTTTGCCTGTAGCACAGCATTACCACCACTGAACTTTGGGATGCCTCACGTCTGAACGGTGTTTTCCCGCTCCCTTTCATTCATTGGTTGCTATAGGTCAGTTTCCTGTGTAATTTACTCCTATTACAGTTCGGGTGGAAGGCAGAGTCAAGCTGTAGTATTAACTAGCCAACAACCCAGAGCATGTCTTTTCAGCACCCCTGCCCCCACAAAAAAAGGGTTTTACCTCACGTTAGCTAACTTGGGGATTAAAGGGGACATGAAGACATTGGACATGAACATAGGCCACTTCTCCCTTCCATTTTTAGCAATATGGGATCTTTAAACTGCACTTGCATAGCCGGGTGCAGACAGCAGGATGGGATTTTCATCTCACTCAATGGAGAATGTTATAAAAATGACATTAACAGAAACATGAATGTCAGCCGAAGGATACTGGAGTTAACTGCAAACAAGAGATGTTAGATGTAATGTAACTGAATAGTCGTGTAACCGCTCCTGAGGAGCCCATTGCAAGCCCATGCTACTGCCTCTGTATCAGAGGCAGCAGTGTGGGGTGGCAGGCAGGAGCCAATCCATGAGGGGAGCCAGTTTAAAAGCCAGTTCCCCATGTAGACTGCCTGCCTGCCATCCCATGCTGCTGCCTCTGATTCAGAAGCAGCAATGCAGGGTGGCAGCAGCCCCTGTCACAGGGGGGTCCGAGCTGATAGAGGCAGCAGCGTGTGGAGGCTGGAAGGAGGGAAGCGGGTCCGCGGAGCCGGCATGAGAAGAGAGCCAAAAGCCAGCTCCCCGGGCATATCGGCTCCAGCCTGCCCCACTCCTCACAAGAACCGGCTCCTGCTCCTTTCCCCCCCACACTTGCTGCCACTGATACAGAGACAGCAAAGGGTGGGGGGAGTGCATTGAGTCGATAAGATTAACTGATAAAGGTTTATTGGTTAATTGGGTATTGGACTACATGTTAACATCCCTACTACAAAACTACTTACTCCAATAGAACAACAGTTCAAGTACTAGGGATTGAACTAACGCTGGAAAAAAGGGGAACCTCTCCCCCCAACTACAGAACATGAAGAAACCCAAGTAAGTAAATGCTATTTATAAGTAAGTGAAATAGGAGGACTGGGTGGCAAAGAAGAAAGGCAAAGAACAAATTAAAGCTCAAGAGGATGTTGACTATTAGAACATTTTACAGACGTCCCCTCTGGAATACCATCACGTGGCAGTACTTTCAGTTAACTCAGTGAATAATAATTATTTGTACTTATTACATAATGCTTAGGGGCCCTAGTCATGAACCATGACCTTGTTCTGATGGGTCCCATACAAACAGATGAAAAAGACAGTTCCTGCTCCAAATTGCTTACAGAGACAACAGGCAGATGCCAACAGATGAGAAAGGAAACAATGAAAATATTAGCCAGCATGGTGGGCAGTGGTCTCAGAGCTCCTGAGTGTGACAAAGTTAGATGAAGTTCACTTACCTGTGGACTCTCTGATCGCATCTTAGTACAATCAGAGGGTCAATCATCAGATCCTTCTGAGTGTACTTTTGCTGTCGGACTATCTTTACCGAAGGCTGCAATGCATTAACAGTCATCACCCACAACCTACAAAGCAATTTAATAAAGAAACCTAAAAGCTATTGCTGAAGTAAAAACTGGATTATGCATATTAGCAGACAACAGCTGAAGTAAATGAGTGCCAATTAATTACCCATTCCGAGCCTACAGTTAAAATCCTCTATTTAACTACCCTGCATATGCAATGCTGCTTTATGAGCTAAACAAGGCATTGTCTTTTTCCAGTAGGCATTTTTCTGGAATGTCACCCACCCAAGATGTGTTTTCAGTGAAATATAGAGAAACTATGGGTTTTAAAAAGCAGGCTGTTACAAATATTCTTCAGCATTTGGGTCCTAAGTTTCAGCCAGCCACCTACAAGAGGATCTGAAGACAATTAAATATTTTTACAATTTTGTATGTGCCTTTTTTAAACTTATCTGTGAAGTCTTTTATAAGAGGAGGAACTTTTCTTTGGAAAACAGATACAAAGTTGAACACTAGCAATGACATTATAAAAAGGTCCTGATCTCACAAGGTGCCAAGCTAACGTCTACGATCAAGACCCTAGCTTACCACCACATTAACAGCAGCCATGGGACAACGCTTAGGAGGCAAGAGATGGCATTCTGCCACTTGACCTGCAGTATTAAACTGAACAGTCAGTTGAATCTACCTTCTAGGCATCACGGTGTTAAGGACCATCCAAAGCTTATTGACTGTCTGAAGAATTCTTCGTGGGACTCCAGGATTCAGCAGCTGGTTCATATTCGATGTCAATACCTCTGCATATGGGATCAGCTCACCAGCTGAGAGCAGCGTTAGGTGTTCGAGAATCTGCATCACTTGAGTATGATTTCCTGGGAGCATGGAAAATGCTACAGAGAAAAAACAGTGGGAATTTAAACCAAACTGGGCTTCTATCATTTTATGAATCCTTGTGTAGAAATGAACCATTTATAATCCTTGCTACTAACAAGCTCCCTGCTGCACAGTTCCCAACACCACCCCCAAAGCACAGCCCAAAGGAAGTGGTCAGAAAAAGCAAACTGTTTCCAACCAATTGGCTTGTGGCTAGTTTGCATAATGAATAGAATTGAAACCCACGCCGAAGAAATGTCATGACTTGGAGGAAGGGGGGGCAACGTAAGAACTAGCATTTCTAGACTTCAGTGAACTCTATGAAGATCCATGAGGCTGTGATTTCAAGTAATAATATCTATATCCTAGGTAACAATTCCAAGTGACTTCTATGCTACACATAACAGATCTGAACTATACAACATAATCCCATATGAGAGTGATCCATCTTCACAAAACCCATCATAAATTATACTGCGGTGACGCAAACATATTTTCCCGCCTAGTGACAGTGCATTTGTAGTGGTGCATTTGAAGTCTGATCTACTGGCTGTTTTCCCTATGAAGCTATTATAATTCTCAATTACTGTGCACCTACAAAACACAAAAATGAAAGGAGACAGGAAACAGACGCACGCTATATCACATGCACATGACTCTTCATGTTTATGAAGTCCACACAACTCAACTAGGAAAGAACTACCTAAGTTCACAGATTCAGTTACTCACCTTCTTGAAGTTGTTTGGAAGAATGCTTTTTGGCAGTGTTGGTAAGGAGCATCCGTCGCAGCAAGGCATCTGTGCCCGTGATTTGCTCCTCACAGATCCAATCGTCCACAATACACAAGTGCGGATAGTTAGTCGCAAGGAGGCGCAGCAATGCAGAATGCAAGCCTTCAAGAGTTAAAAAGAATTCAGTCTCCAAACTAAATGTGGGATGTGCAGGTTTAACCAGTTGACTGGTAAGCTTCACCCTTCATGGGCTGCTCCAATGGTTGCTCCAGCCACCTACAGGGAGCTGCTATTACAAGGGCCCCAATATGCAATGGGACCAAGTGCCTCACAGGCAGAGGCTGCTCCAGTGTCCTGGCTAGAGCAGCTTCTGTCTGTAGGAGGCCCAGGAGCACAGGGCTTAGGAGCCAGCAGCCAGCCACAGTGCAGGACTGGGAGTGGGTGCCTCGGTGAGCAGGTGTTTCTTCAGCAGGGCCCTGCCCGGATCCTGCTTAAATGTTTAACTGGTGAACCAATTAAACTGATTAACTGGGATTTTACATCCCTAATCTAAATCCCGGTATGTTTTTGGCTGAATGTTATGGCCCTATCACTTTAACAACAAAACTTTACTGAATGAGTCCTGGGACCATACCAAAGTGCATGTAGGTCACTTCTTCAATATTAAGCAAACTTATATTTACAGTCTCAGATCAGAATTTAAATCTCTACAAATACAAAGGAAATCATGTTGGGGTCTTCTACCTTCCCAAAATGTCAATCGGGTAGACTGGGGAAGATAGTAAATTAAAAGCTTGGTCATATTTACAGAGCATTTGATATATGTCAGGATCCACCAAAAGAAATGGAAATTTGTTTCACAGGATTCAGACTGGCATGTGTTATGCCCATTGTTCTATGGTAGCTTTCTCTCTCTCTCAACACTCTAGACCAGTGATTCCCAACCTTTTTCCCATAGAGGAACCCCTAAAATAATTGTTCATATCCCGAGGAACCCCTACCTATGAAAATATTTGCTTGGCCAGAAAAAGTTGACAGCGGAGAGCACAATTCAATTACTGTTAAATTATTGTCAAGAAAATGTATTTGTAAAGAGCTGTTATATATGTCAGCTTACAATGTAAGAAAAAAATATTTATTTATTCCACGATTTCTCCCGGAACCTCTGACGATGGTCTGCGTAACCCCAGGGTTCTGCGGAACCCTCGTTGGGAAACACTGCTCTTGACTTGACAGGTGTTAAGCAGAAATGCAGCATAGTTTGAAGACTCAAGATCAGAAGCACTGCAAGTTTTACAAGTAATTATAAAGAACACACCACAAAAGCAGGAGAAAGCTACTTTTTTATATTCTGCTCAACTGCAGGACACCAGAAGATACAGATAATCCTCCATTTTCACTCTCATATGTTAGACACTCCAATATACCTCCCAGTTCCTGCTGCAGCCCTTGTGCCTGCCGGATAAGGTACTTGATTGGAATCTGATCCATCAGTGCTGAAGAGTAAGACTTGGGTTTTTTTTGCATGGCAGCTGTAAGGAACAAAAATTCATTCATTCATTCATTCCTACCACCATTAAAATCTTACATGTCAGATTCAAAGTCACAAGTAAATGGAGAGCTCAGACGACCAATCTACTTGTCAATTGCTCACGCTGCAGTTCATAAGGACGGCAGAATCACCCTCTGTTGAGAGGACTTTGGATAAATGGTGCTATTGAAATAGCAACCTGGAGAAATAGCAGCAAGCGGGTGAGGTCCGAATGGAGTTATAGTACAACTACATTTTCCTACTCTGGAGCCAGGAAATCAGAACCCCACTCCAAGCTCTCTTCTTTTAAAGCAGCAATAATAAACTCATTGCCACTTCGCATTTTTCACCGCATTTCTCCCCCAGTTGCGCATCCCGAATGACCCATCAACAAAACACATCACTTCCGAGGCAGCCATTGTGTGTCACAAACATTACACAACTACTGCTCATAAACTATCAAATTTGCCAAGTGAAGTTGCAGTGAGACTGTCAAGAATCAGACTATAGCTAGTCAAGACTAAATTTTGACCATGAGACTTAGGTTAATAGGGTAACACTCTTAGGTTATGTCTAGACTACACCTTTAATAAAAAAAATAAAAAAAAAAGCCTTTTTTCCAAAAAAACGTCACCTGCGTCTAGACTGCCATCACGTTCTTTTGAAATTGAATCGAAAGAATGTGGCAGTAAGCCTCATTTTACGAGGAAGAACACCTTTTTTCGAAAGAGCTCTTTCCAAAAAAGGCTTTCTTGAACGCAAACAGGGCTTTTTCAAAAGAGAGCGTCCAGATTGCCTGGGTGCTCTCTTTCAGAAAAGAAGATCAGAGGAACCTTTAAAGACCCTGTGAAGAGTTTCAACTAATACCTCACCCTTCAGTTCATGGATTGTCACTAGATTTCTGCCATACTAGTTTTGACCACGTCCGACCCTCGTATCTAACAACATCACAGCCCAAGTCTTTATTCAAAAGAACAACAGGGACAGGTAGTATAGTACTATGCAGAACACACCATGTTCTGCAGCAGTGTGCAAGCTATCGGCCGGAGAAGAAGCTTGATCCATTTTAATAGGCCATTTTGCTCTCATATAATATCCCACGCATTCAGCTGACTGGCACACTGATGAATGCTGGAGGATGGGGTAGGTAAAAAGGTGGCTGGAAATGCACACTATGCTTCCCAGCAGGTTTCCACCAAAATCGAGGGCGAGTTCATGAACTTTGAACACTCACAAAGGGCCAATTAGAAGAATTTAATCGGAAAAGAATTACTCAGCCACGTCCACATTTAAAGCAAAAAACACTCCCACAAAACCAGGAAATAAATGCCAATAATCTAAACTCATTGCTGGATGAAAAAACACCCAAAGCTACCCCAAAAATACTTAGGTATTGTCATCACCAACTTCGAATGCAGCTTGTTATGGAAAAATGGGAGGTAACTTTTCTGCCACGTTCCACCCTGGATTAATCTGAAATGGCTGACTTAGAACACAGAACCATGGATTTATCATAGACGCTACGCTGGCTTCTGCCCTTGACGGTCTTCAGACCATCCATATAACACTGTGTTAGATACAAGAGCCAGCGCTAGCTCTGCTAGAGCGAGGAGGAACATCAAACAATTCTTACTGCCATGCTCATTACTATGGCAATTGAAATGTATGTCACATGGTCTATTTTAGGACGCGTCAGTTCTTGTCGCAGTCGGATACTGACATTTGCTCTTCCGTTTCCATGAGACCTTCAGTCACAATGATGCGAACAACACTCGCCCACACGTACCTAATGTCTTTGTGTTAGCCAGGAGCGCCTCTTCGTACGAAAGGACATAATAGAGGACAAGCAGCTGGGCTGTGATGCTGTATCGCTGATTAACACGACCGGTTTCTCCCTGCACATAAAGCCATACCACGGTGATGTTGCAATATCACCCTTATTCTTAAAGGAAAAGTTTGGACTCAGGAGAGAACATGGGGGAAAGGCAGCCGAGTTTCAATCAGAGTGACACGGTCATGCTAAATTTACTCTACATTTAGGGCTGTGGGGGGTATTTTGGTTTTTAATTTAGGAAACTGCAGAGCACTAAAAATGTTTGATATTTTGGACATTTCTATGGTTAGAAGTGCTGACTTGCTTTGGGAAGCCTGGAACAAGCCCATTATGAAAGTTTTGGCCTCCCATTCTCACTCCACATGCTTCCCAGAAATGTAAAATAGGGCCTGGGCGCATACAAGACCATGCAAGCATTGTTAATGGGAAAGCCAACTTCATTTTCCACTTCAATTTGTTGCTGGAAACAGGAATCATTCCTTGAAAGCAACGTATTTAGAGGGGTGGTGGTGCTGCAAAAGCAGCAGCTTCAGCATATTCCAGGGAGCAGGGCAAAGAGCAGCAATAATAGGATCTGCACGAAACCTCATTTGACCATCTTTGGCCAGAAAATACAGTTAGGATACAGGGAGTAAAAGCAGGAATAGGGATGTAAGCGACTAGTCGAGTTGACTACTTAAAAGCCAGTTCCCCTCAGCGCAGTGACGAAGGGCAGAGGAGGCTCGCGCAGCAGTCCCAGTCGTGGCTTGTGGACCTACCCCCGCTGCGGCTCTGCAGTTTAAATGTAGTAGGAGCCCAACTGCCTGCATGCCAGGCTCCTACTACATTAAAACTGCTGAGCCAGCAGGGGTAACTCCTGGACCCGGTGTCAGCTGAGACAGAACGCCTCTCCTTATCGACTAATCATGCAGTTGATACAAATTGTATTGAGTCAACAATTAGCCAATTACCTGCTTCTTAACATCCTTAAGCAGGAAAACATAAAGCAGTGGTGAGATACTCTAGCAAGTTTCTGTACAACATATTGAAGATATTTATGAACTGACTCAGAGCAGACATGTGAAAAGTAAAAAAAAAAAAAAAAATTACCCCTGTAAGTCCTTTAAAAACATTTAAAATCTCCTGTTCTGTGACTGGCTGATTTGTGGCCTCTGGGTTGGATTTAGATGCAGGAGTAAGAATGGAGTTGATATAGACATCAATAAGAGGAAGTAACTGAGGATGGAGTGGTGTGGTGGTTTCACACAGCTGTCTATAAATCCAGTCCTAAAACAAACACATTACACTTAATAGCAGCAGCAAAGTGTGAACTAAAAATACTGTTTCTACTTTTAGGTGCAGGAACAACTCTTTAACCAAATGAAATAATTTAGATACACTAGACACTTAGAGCCACACTTTGGAAATTAAAGGGAAAGTATCAATTCTGAACTTAGCCAGATAGTCTATCAAATACTCGGATAGTTTCCCCATGCAGCAAAGCTCTCGTAATACATCTTGGTCCTAGTCAGGAACATTCATACTTTTCCTTCTTCCTGATTAGGATTTTAACAAGTGTATCAATGGAAACAGGATGAATGGAGTGTGACTTAGGTTGGAAACACTGCTCTACACAGCTTAAAGCTTCACACGCTAACCCAATGTACTGTACGGGATAGTGGTCACTCACCAGCCCAATGAAGATTTCATTCATACCGTAAACATTTCATTAACCGATATTGCACAGAAACAATAGAAATTTGTATCCCAGTAAATTTCAGTGAGCAGCAGAAACTATTAATAGAACTAATGTCTGATCGTCATGCAGTGTTCCGGAATGTGAATGGAAGAACTGTCAAACCTTTATGGATACTTTGTGTTTGGTGAATGACCGGCTCCTTAGAAGTTGGTAGATACAGTGAATGGGCAAAAACCCAGTAATGTTGGCACTCAGATTTCCTGTGACAGGCACACGAACCGCGTGGGCAGTGACAACCTATGGGAAAAACTGTAATAGTCAAGAAAAACACTTTCATTCCTTCGCCATTATCCAATAATTATCTACAGTAGTTGCATAAAATCAGTTCATATAAATAGTCCATGCAAAGAACACTGTTAAAGGAACATTAGGGAGGTTGCAAAATCAAGTACTCAACAGTCAGGAAATGACAAAATTAAAGTTGCCTGTTTGGCCACTTTGTGAGATGCAATATGATCATGTAATTAATGGGAGTACCATAACGCATATGCACAAGGACCCCAAATTAAGGTTTCACGGACAATTTTAATTCTGTCATTTCCTAACAGTTGAAAGCTTGATTTTTTTTAACCTTAATGTGTTTAAATGCCCCACCCCCCAGTGTAATTGACTAGTTTTTTAAAAGAGCAAATAGTTTTAAAAAACTGCAGAAGTTCCTTCATGTGGCATAATATTGGCACCCACCTGCATCATAAGCAAGACTGGAACCTACAGAGATCTACTGCACAGACCTCTGCCAGTTCATACAACAGCGTAATTGACAGCTAGCATAGCTTGCCCTCCTCTTTGTGGACCAGCACAAGCAGGGATGAGATACTCCTTGGCAGTGGGTTTCACAGTGTGTATGGGAGAGGAATGGTGAGACTTAGGAACCTCAAAGCTCCTCACCAGGCTCTGAAGGGAATAGGCTAAAGTGGGCACAGACTCTTGAGCCCCAATACCAAGTCCAAAATGCTCTAGCAAATGGCGTAACTGTTTTTGGCTTTAAGTTCTCAAAAGCCAGCTCGACCCAGGGTATAAAATATTTGTGCGGAGTTAAAGTTTAGCAAAGTTATAATCATCCCAACACAAGGTCACAAAATGCCAGCAATTCTGCCTATGCGCCTCCTTTGAAAATGGTTTGGCCTTTGAAGGTAGATATGCTCATTGTGGTTTTTTCCACTTGTGATGTGTTTGTACAGAAATAGATCATCATAGATTTTGGTGAGTTTTTTTTTAAAATCACCATCTCCACCAAAATAAGCAGAAAATGAAAGCCCCAATTCTGTCAGTTCTGCTCATGGGGAGCAGGCCACACTGAAATCAGTGGGATTAGTGACATAGCAAAATATTATTGAGCCTGGGGGTGAAGGACAGAATCAGGTCCCCAGAAGTCTTCCTTCCCCATTAGATCTATAACTCTGCAAACCAAAAGAGCAGTCCCAGGTAAATTTTCAGAAGGAACAAGGCAGGAAAACAAGTGTGACAAAGCTGAGATACCAAAACCAAGTGCAGTAGTTGTTCTGAACCTTTTATAGCAGTTGCATAGTACAACAAATAAAAAACAATAATGAAATGGTTAAAAAAAATCCCAAAGATTACCTGTTCAGTGAAAATCTCCTGAGTAAAAATGGTCTTCATTCTGCTCAGTGAGCTGGGCTTAATAACAATCTGAAAAACAACAAGGTGTTTGCTCTTACGGCTTTAAGATCTGGCTTGTTCAAATGTGAAAAACATTATAAATAGCTAAAATACTAAAAGCTATTTCAGCCTGCTACAGCTAGAACCCGCCATTTGCAATTCAGTTTATTTTACTTTCCAGTGTCATGAGTTCAAGATTCTATGTCTTCCTCACTCTGAAAATTCAGTGTTTAGACTTAGTGAAGTCAAAAGCTCCTACAGGTAAAAAGGCTGAAACAGACTCAGCTGATAAATAAAATAGACCCACTGTGACACATTGCTTAAGAAGTTTACATGATATATGACTTCTCAGTGATCTTTTAAGTGAAAAGTTTACAGCTCCTTTTAGAATGGACTTTGCATTTCCCCTTGCCAAAAATGGAGCCTGTTAGAATACTGTGTACATTGAGAACACAAAGTTCATTTCAACAGGGCACTTCTTTTCAAAAATACTTAGCTTGATATCTTAAACACCTTCAGCATATGAAAGGCTAATGTCAATAGGCATTCATGTTTCAGTTCTACTCTATATACATTTTGTTTTTGCTTAAGAAATGTGTGAAGATTCTTCATTTAAAGTTAAATTTGCTCAAGAATAAATTGGAAATGCAGATTTTCTGACTTTTAGATCTAGAGTCAGATAACTAGAATAAAATGCACAATTGATGGTGTATTTATAAGAAAACCTCCTTTGAAGGAAGGTTTTGAGAAGTTACCTTCATTCCCAAAGTAGAACAAACCAAATCAATGATTGCACTCAGCTGATTACTGTGGAAATACATGGCAACCAATAACAGCATCTCTCCAAAGGAAGCAGACACCCCAGAAATGCTGTTGGAACAGAGATAAACTAATCAGTTTCTGAAGCAAATATATCAAACCTTGGCTTATTGGGTTATTTTGAAAATTAAGCTCTCACCTTTCAAAATAGGCTTCTTCTTTTATCATCCAGCTCAGCCACATTACCATCAGCTGCTCCTGTTCTGGGGTACTAAAAGAAATTCCACAACAGCTGTTTCATTTCTGGATTATTTTTGTCACCCTTTTGAGAGGTGGCTTAAGATACTCACCAAATTTACGCAACAGGAAAGGAACACAGAAGACCTAGTTCAGGGACTTAACTATAGCACCCTGCAGCATCAAGTTAGAAACCACCCTAATGCCTGTTCTCCCCTTCCCAAAGCACTTTGCACTAGAGAGGATGGGCTTCATCAAGTTATTAACCCCACCAGCAAGAGCCCCTTCAGCAAGAGGTTGTACATGTCTACAGAGAATGAAAAGATGAAGAGGAACTGGTGGCGAGGAGAAATGCTTCAGCACAGCACTGCCCTGGCTATGCTCAACTAGTATCTCTAGAAGGTTCTATTGTTCTAGGTACCTGACGAGGGTGGAGAAAGCCAGGAGCATGCAGAACGAGAGCGATACAAAGCGAACGCCAGCTGGAGTCGCAGGAGGACGGCTTGTCATTAGCTGAAGTAACTGTTCGGCTTCCTCATCAGTTGGTCTAAACAAAAGAAATGAAAGACGGTTTTTCCTCTTACAAGTCAATTTCTCTTACGCCAGATAGAATTCCAACCTGGCCACAATGGCTGCAATTTACATTAGAAGTACAAGTAACTTTATCAATGTATGGTCATAGAAATTACTTGGAAGTTCTCTTTGGACTTAAGAATTCTCAAAGTCACTGTTTTAAAGATTTCGGTATAAAAATCTCTGCTTTAAAAGGATTCACAATTATTAGCATCATATATTCCTACAACGAGAACCCATCCTGTATATACTGGAGGCAACCAGACAACTCACCAACATCAGATTCTACAAGCTTCTCTCCTCTAAAGCAACACATTGGAGAACACTTTAACCTGCCCAGGCTCTTATTAATGGATCTCAGAGTCACCATGTTGCTTCAGGACAATTCCACATGCCAAATACACAGGGAAGCGTTGGAATTTAACTTCGTTTACAAGTTTGGGACCCATCACAAAGGTATAAATAAAGACATTAGGCTAGCACACTACCTTCCACACATCCTAATGATTTAACCAAACCAATGGGTAATTAAAAACAATTTGCACCTTCTCTATCAGCTTCATGCAACATGAACACACTAATTCACTATTTTTCCCTTCCTTCTTCCCCTTCCCTCCAACCCCTATTTATTTTGGAACTGGACTTTTAATACTCCATTCATCAAGTGGGTTGTACCCACAAAAGTTCATACCACCATCTACATGTTTGGTTAGTCTTTAAGGTGCTGCTAGACTATTTGTTGTTGTATACGATATGTTGTCAATCTGTCCATAGACACATGGCAATATAAAAATTCAGAGTAAAAGCAAGTGTATGTCGTGACAGGACTCAATATAACCAGGGTTTTCAAACTGTCTGTCTTACATTCTGCTCCACAGACCTTTCAAAATGATGCTATAGAACTGAATTTTATTACAGAAGAACCACCAAGAGATTTCTCAGCTGAATCTCACTGTAGGCGGGGAGACGTCTCACAAATGCATTCATGGTCAAAAGTGAAGGGCAGACAAGCTTTCCTGCCAAGAACGAAGCAGGAAGGGGAAATGCACAGAAGTTTCTGCAGATTTTAATCATCATCATTTATTCTGTGCAAAACAAAGAGAGAAAGAACAAGCTGGCAACTTCAACTCCAAAACAGGTGAGGAGCCAGAGCAGGACAGAGCAAGCAGAATGTATTCTCAGTCCTAAGGAAGGCAAACCCCGCTAGGTATGGGCTAAGGATTTTATGGCAGAGGAGGAAAACTCAGACTGGAAATCAGTAAGGTTCCTAATAGCTGAAAGGTCTTATTTATTTTCAGATGGGTGAACAGCTAGTAAGAGAATACCAATAGCAAGAAAATATTCTTTACTTCAGGCCAGCGATCCCCATCAAAGCACAATAGAGACGTAACAACGCGCTGGCTTTCACAACATGCTCTTCTTTCAGTCCAGAATACACAGATACATTTGGTTCCATGTCAGCATCTGCTTCATCCACAATGTGTGTGCTGCGAACAGTGGGAAGGATTCCCATTAACTCCAGGAGCAGCTGCCTTCTCATCTGCCAAAGCACAGAACTGACATTCTCTTTTTTCCTCTGTGTGAAAAGGTGAAAGAAGGAAAAAACAGTAATTCAAGGAAAAAACAAACCCAACAGGCCATTACAAGGTACATTCCTAAGTGCTGACAATTTCAGTGAAAGTTCATGCAGCACATTAATCATTTAATTGGGCGGGCTGCGGCCACAGAAAAATGGCATTCCGACGTTTTATTTCAGTGAGGTACAGGCATTAAATAATTGCACCAAACCAATGCATGACTTTCTACTGCTGGGCATGAAAAACGGTAGTGAAACTGACAACAATGGGCCTATGGTCTAACACTGTCTAGGATCTAAAATCTTATTGGATCTATTGTCCCGCAGTCCACATGACTATGAGACTACTGTAAAAATCACTGACAGCAGAGAGGGACCACTAGATGGCACTCTTCAGTGACACTATTCTAGAACTGGCAAACCCAGAGAGTTGTGTCCAGTCATTTTCAGCTAGATCGGGGGTGGGGAACCTACGGCTCAGAGGCCAGATGCGGCTCCCCGGCTTGCCAGGATCCAGTCCCCGAGGCTCAGGGCTCCTTCCACACCTCAGCATTGGGTAGCCTATGCTGATGCTTCAGTTTCCCCTCTCAGCGGGGCTGGAGCACACAAAATCTACTAGCCTGGACCACCCTAGGTTCTGGTGCACAAAGGGAATGTGGGGAGTCTTTTTCCTTCTTAGTTGGGACCCACATCAGTAAGGGGAAGCATAGGGAGGGGGCGGGTTTGGCAGCTTCTCACTTGTGTTCAGCCCCCGACTGATTTTTCCATGGGCCAGCGCGCTCTGGCCCAAATAAGGTTCTCCTACTGCTGAGCTAGAGAAGGTTTCCCATGAGTCAGGCCTTGCAGCGAGATGTGAACACAGGATCCTTGGGCACAACAAAATCCAAAGCACTGAACTTTATTTTTTTTATCAATTCCCAGGGAATTCTCAGATTTTTACCTGTTGCCCGTTCCGGATAAAAGTCCCAAACCACGTCCGAACTCTTGCATTCGTTCCGAGAAGTAATCCGCTCACAAAACATACCAGGTCGCTCACGCCATCGTCCGATGATTCATTCCTTGTGTGATCCAGTGTCAAAGCCACCCCAAGGCCTGGTAGATGGCACTCTTCCACCTAGCACCACAGCCAAAGAAAGCCAGCCACCATTTTACAAGTGAGCCTCAATGGAACGTTAGAAAACAATTGGGACTTACGTGCCATTTCATAAGGAGCCAATCACAGGCTTACCACCATGCCTCGGATCCTCAGGGCCTGGGAAGGGTTCATTTTACACAGGTGACGAAGCGCCTCTGTCCTGCGACGGCCTCCGAGGCTTTCCTCATCCTGACGTTCACCATTCTTAATCAAGCCTCTGCAAACTAAACATTTGGAGGGGGGCTGGAAAGCCATTTTTGCACTGGACAGTCACTCACGCAGCTCTGCAAAGCTCACTGCTCATTATTTCCTGTATGCATTATGGTAGCACCTAGCAGCCCAAGTCACGGACCAAGGCCCCAGCATGCAAGGCCCCTACGCTGGGAAAAAGACTCTTTTTGCTCTAAGAGCTTACTATGATCCAATTGACCCCAGCGAGTCATAGCTCTCTCTCTCTCTCTCATCCTCTCAAACTGAACTCAAGTGATGTTCAATCATCACTGGCACCAGATCATCAGAACTCGGAATAAGCAGGAGAATGGGAAAATGTGACGCGGCGGTGCTATCTAGCAGCCATAGGAACAATCGCCCACTTCTGGTCCTGAAGTCCTGGCTGTTCAATAAATGCAGAGAGCTGGAGCTAAATGGGGTTCTACTGTATCTAGCACCTCTGGAGTCTCCATCAATGTGTGTGATACAGCATGGACAACAGCAGTACATGTTTCCCCACTGTTCCCACCTCAGTATACCTCAGGCTTCCCTGGAAGGACAACTCAGAGGCAAAAGGGCAGCTCAGTCACCAAGGACCATGCATCACCTGGCCTCTTTAATGAGAATACATTGTGATGGGTCTTTGCAATGGGGATGCTCACATAGCAGGTCCTGAACTGACAGACTCTACTATCTACCAGGTGTATTATTTTTTGGTCACTGTTGACTTGGGTCAGATTCATACCAGTGACCTAAAAGATACACAGCTGCATTTTAGGAATACAGTGCCATGATGATCATTAGGCTTCCTTGGTGAGAGGCAGTGGCCATACCAGGGGAGAGTGTGCATTAAATGAGGACACGAATGCCCCGGAGGCCTTCAAGATAAGATTCAGATATATCCAAACTAAATTTCTCCAAGTGAGTGTCTCTGGGCTATTAGAACATACACTACTTGGAATGAATTTGAGCCTGGAATGAATTTTTAATGCTTAAGTTGGTATAAACTCCCAGAAAAATATAAATTGAACACCATAAATTACAGCCTACCTTCATTAAAGCTATCAGGGACGTTGGCCACAAGGAGACACAGGAACCAGGCTCCATTTTTAACATGTAGCAGAGCTTCAGCCACATCAACTATGGGTAATAGCGAAGGCAGTTCTGAATGGAAACAGGGTTTTAAAAGCCATTACACTCACTCACATGGATCTAAGTGTCACTCTCCAGTTTGCATTAGGCTTTTAGGATTAACATATGGGCCGTTTCTCTTTCAGAAGAGCTGGCCATTAATTTTAAATCAGTTACTAAGATGATTCCAGACGGTAGGGTGGGCTTTTAAGTCTAAAACCATCTATGAAATTAGAACCAGTTTAGCTTTAGAGTGAAACACTGAATTGATAAATAGCATTACTGAAAACTTCAGAAACAAAGAAGTGCACCTGCTTGTAAAATACAGAGAACATCTGCAGCTTCATCCAAATAGACAGGACTCTCAAAGAGTTCAGATGACTTGAAGAAAAATTCACCATTTGTCTCCAAAACCTACAGCAAGAAGTTGTTTATTAAGCTTGCACAACATGGTAATGAAGTCACTAAACAGCATAACCATTGGTTGCCATCAAACTCACATGGATTTGAACTCAATAGATCGCATATGTTAAGAATGGCCAATAAAAAAAAAAACGAATATTTTGTCAGTACATCAGTTCTGCTTTCATAACATTTCTCAAGAACCACAGAGTTGCTCATAAGACTTGGGCATGCAACTGTAATTATGCTGAACAAGCAGCCCCTGAATTTTCACATAAACAAATGGAAGCAACGCTTGTAGATGGTCCTTAAACTGGTGTCTGATCTTTTGGGAACAGCTCTTGTTAGTCTATGAACCAAGACTGTGTTAAAAAAACAACTCATTATTAAATCAAAATGACCTTTACGGCATTAAAGAACCTCAGATGCCTGAAACGCTGTGTCCTGATACGAAATATTTATCCCATTAAAAGACTTAGTTTATTGTTAACTCACTATGCTTTCTGTTAAGTGTTCTTAATATGTATATGCTGTAAAAGATGTGTGCACTTTTAAGGGGAGAAGGAAGAGTTAATGTATTGGAGGAGAATAATTCCTATATTAGATGACGTACGGTTACGGAAACAGCAAAAATGTTTACTTCCATTTTTAATATTAGCACTTTTCAAACTTAAGCGCACAGTCAATTGATAGTTGTACAAATCTGATAAACTACCAGGAAGAAAAAGTAAAATAAGGTCAACATGGAGGGTGGCAGTGGTCACACAACATTTGCACACTAGCCCACGAGTAAAATTTCAGGAGTGCCTCTATCACTTAGCACCCTAAAACCCCATTTTCACATAAAACTTGGGCATATAAGAACTTTGGGGCTTTGGCTGTTAAGTGCCTAAGTCACTTATAAAAATGGGAGTCAGATACTTTTGAAATTTTATCCTTGGCCTTTGAGTTGTAGAAACTGGATTCACATGAGGTTTAAATTACCTACAAGCGACGTCTAAGAGCAGATCCTAGTTTGTTTGACAATTTAGCATGATTGACAGTTTCTGCTTGATGGAGGCCTGTGATTAAGGTAGCTAAGGGAGTCAAGTTCAGTATCCAAATACATTGGCAAGGCCAGATGCAGCATGCCACAACATTAAACTGCTTTTTGCAAGGTTCTCCACACTACCATTTATCTGTGTTCTTCATTTCCACCAACACCAAATTCACAATCACTACAGAATAATAAAAAAGACATTTACCTTATTCATAATTGCCAATAATTCACTCAGCACAAGACGAAGCCGACGAGGGGAATCACTATGCTCAAACTCCAAGGTCAGGCCATGCTGTAGCTGCGACACCAAGATGCTTTCGCCACTGCCTCCTCCCAGTTTGTGTCTAACAAATACATTACAAGGCAAAAACAGATGTTTAAAGAAAAATAAGGCACAGAAATTAGTAGCATTTCTTGTTAGTCTGTTCTTATACCATGCTCGTCACCGTAGTATCTGAGCACTTTAAATATTAAAGCAAGAACAGCAATCTACACTTGTTTTGCTGGTTCTACGAAACTTTCTTGATAACTTTACTAGTGGCCGCAGAAAACTATCATGATTTTGATATTTTCAAATAGCAAAAAAAAAAAAAAAAAAAAAAAAAAAAAAACCACACATGACAAACGCTTATGCACACTCAAATAGGTGTCTCTATCCCATTATTCTCAAACATTTATATTGGTGTCCCCTTTCACACAGCAAGTGTCTGAGTGGGACACCCTTTATAAATTAAAAAGGTTTCTTTTTATATTTAGCACTATTATAACTGCTGGAGTTTGAAGCTGTGTTTGGGGTAGAGACTGAGAGCTTGTGACCCCCTCATTTAATAACCTCCTATACAATGTTCCCTCTAGTTTTTTCCCCTCCAAGCACAGAATAAATGTTATGTGCATGGAGGCATGTGTTGATGTATGCCACCAGTAGAAACACAAGCTGCTGGCTGTGGGCAGCATTTGAATCTCTCTTTGGTGGCCGCCCAAGCACTCAGCTTACAGGGAACACTGCTCCTGATCCCTCCATGTCATGACTCCCAGTTTGAGAATCCCTGCTCCATTCCCATACAATACACAGACCACAGCCAAAGACTAGTGCATCCTTATAGTTCCAAGGGTTAATCCTTCTGGTAAAATGTGACTAGATAGCACTTCCTTTGAAGAGCATCAGTGCCCCCTTGCCTAGCTATGGTGGTGGAGGAAGGACACTGAGTCACTGAAAAAAAGCAATAAATTCCATATCCTTCCCTGCATGCTGTCCTATCAAGCCCAAGATACAAGAAACACGCATGGGATGTGAAACAATAATGTAGCAAAATGCCAAGTAACCAGGCCAACAGGATTCACTACTGTTATTACATTCTGGAAGAAGATGGCAACATTCAGATGAAATATTCATACATACACATTTCTAAATCATATTAAAAATGGGTTTTAGCTACCTAAGCTGTTGCTCTTTGTTTGCATCCTGCTCCAAGGCATGAAAATCCACAGACAACAAGGCAACAATTGAGTTGACAGCTTCCACTCCTGAAAGGAGTCGAAGGATAAGTTTTTTATCCTGAGCCCAGCTTTGGCTCTGATCAGCTGGGGCACAAAGGGCCATTCGCACCAGGCAAGGCAACAAAAGCCTTAACTCTGGGTCACTTAGTGCTGCCAAGCGCACAACATCCACCTTCTGCATTGCTTCAAATGCGTAGGGGCTGACAAACTGAAGGCCAGAACACTCTGCCATTTTTACCACCTGTCCTAAAGACAAAATAAAAACACAATTATCATCAGAAGAGACAGATTGCATCACAGCTTTTGACAGCTCTAAGCTGGTAAATGTGGTCTAGCAATTAAAACACAAGACTAGGAGTCAGGATTACCAGTTCTGCTCCTATCTGAGACATCTGGGTCATGCCTCCCATTAAAGAGGGAGACTGCATCAGGACTCCTACTTTCTATTTGCAGCTCTGGGAGGGGAGGAAGGTCTAGTAACCAGGACTTCCAGGTGCTATTTTCAACTGTCACTAAGTGCTCATAAGAAGTTAAGGTTGTGAGCATCTCCAAGATGCTTTGAGATACTGGGACACCAGGTGTCCAGAAAGGGACACATCTCCAACACAGCCAAGAAACCCTTGGGATCCAAAGCAATGATTTATTATAACTGCATTCATGTCCGCCACTTCTATTACAGCTCCCACCAACGGCCTACTCCGCCTCCTCACCTCAGAGCCAAAAAGAGCAAAGGATGGTGGTGCCAGGGTTGTGAAAGGGGAAGGTACACGAGACAAGAACAGGGCCAGGACCGTGTTGCAGGGGTTGATCTGCTCGTGGCCCTGCACTGAAAGCAGAACCCAGGCACCCAGTTTTGAACCGTCCTCCTTCCAGACTGAAACAGGACCCAGGCAGCAGGTCCTGGGGCCAGGCGGGGAGAGAGAGAGAAAAGCTCTGACAGCCTCAGTTCCCCCAGGACCCCAGCATCTGGCACCATGGAGGGCTCTAACAACCCCTCCCCCACTCAGGACCCGGGGTGCAGCCCCTCGAGGGGGGCTCTAACAACCCCTCCCCCACTCAGGACCCGGGGTGCAGCCCCTCGAGGGGGGCTCTAACAACCCCTCCCCCACTCAGGACCCGGGGTGCAGCCCCTCGAGGGGGGCTCTAACAACCCCTCCCCCACTCAGGACCCGGGGTGCAGCCCCTCGAGGGGGGCTCTAACAACCCCTCCCCCACTCAGGACCCGGGGTGCAGCCCCTCGAGGGGGGCTCTAACAACCCCTCCCCCACTCAGGACCCGGGGTGCAGCCCCTCGAGGGGGGCTCTAACAACCCCTCCCCCACTCAGGACCCGGGGTGCAGCCCCTCGAGGGGGGCTCTAACAACCCCTCCCCCACTCAGGACCCGGGGTGCAGCCCCTCGAGGGGGGCTCTAACAACCCCTCCCCCACTCAGGACCCGGGGTGCAGCCCCTCGAGGGGGGCTCTAACGACCCCCCCCACTCAGGACCCGGGGTGCAGCCCCTCGAGGGGGGGGCTCTAACGACCCCCCCCTCAGGCAGGACCCAGGCATCCGAGGCTTCCAGCGAGAGTCGGGGCAGAGGATCCAGGACTCTCACTAACCTGGGACCCGTCCCTCCCCCCGAGACCGGCAGCGGCTCCGCCCCCCCCACGCCGCCGCTACCTTGCGGCCGGGGCAGCAGGCACCCGTCCCCTATTGATGACATCACACCCGTCAGCCCCCTGATGACGCCGTCAAAGGCTTCTAGGAACGTTCGGGCGTGGGAGGAGCAATAGGCGGGACAACCGACAGGCCAACCGGACGTGACGTCAGGAACGGCCGTCGCTCGGGTGGAGCTGCTTGCGCGGGGGAGGGAAGCCGTGGTGACGTCAGCAGAAGGCGTTGGCGGCCTTCCGCCTCGGGGGGGGGCGAAAAGGAGAATAGCGTCTGACGTTCGGAATAGCGTCAA